GACTATCCTCATACTATTCTGATAATTAGACTAATTCGTTAATTACAAGGAAAATTGTGGTTCGGATTCCACTATAAACTATAGGTCCCTTATTTGCCATTGGCTGTATGGGCTATTAACAGTTGTGTCTAAGGAACATGTCGGCCTGAGTCACTAATAAGACTACAAGATCGTGCCACTCATCCTGCATTTATCCTTCACTCATATTTGGGTTAAAATTCGCACATAGTGGCGTCCCCGTCTTAAGTAATTGGTAAAACTGATAGTAATTAGCTTAGTAAACTAATTAACTTACTTTTTTCAAATGGTTGGTGGTTTGAGATAAGTCAGTAGCTTTACCAGTTCGAAATTGGACTCAGCTGTTCTTAATCGAGTCTTGATTGGGATTTCGGTGAAATTATTGGTCCTGGCTAAAAAAAAAAAAAAAAACGCTGATCCTAGTCAGTAACAAAGCTCCCGATTCATTCAACCCTTTTAGCATTTATTCATATTCACCTTAATATACACATTCTTATGATTCAGTGTAGTACAAATCTGCATTAGGTACGTAATATTTAAAACCTAACTTTGTACGTCAAATATTCAAACAAGAAGAAAATTTTAAATATACACATTCTACAAAAAAATATACAATAGCAGGCAGCTCAAATAACCAGACAATTATTACAGTAAAATAGCCATTCGCAAGATTGTATACGGTTTAGTTAATTTACGAAACAAAAGGTATGTAATCTAACGTAGGTTTATCGTTTTGAAATGTCCACGAAAACCATTTACTAGATATCAATCTGAACGTTCGATGAAATGATTGTTTCTGTTACATTCGTGCCTGCAAAGATTCACAATAAATTGCGAAATTGCTACTTTTCGTTTATGGACTAAGAGGATTCAGTATGCTGTTTTCTTTTATTTTTTGCTATGTTAATACTAAATTAATGAGCGTGTGATTAAATAGTATTTTAAAATTGTGTTATACAGGGACAATATCTTTAATTAAAGATATATTGGAACAGAAATGAAGTAGCATTTTTTACTCATCTGCCGCTATTCATTTTATGGTAAAATTTAGATGTGTTTCGCCACTATGTGCGAATTTTAACCCAAATATGAGTGAAGGATAAATGCAGGATGAGTGGCACGATCTTGTAGTATTTATAAATATACTAGCTGTTGTACCCGTGCTTTGCAACGGGGAAAGGACACAAAATAGAAACATTTTTATCTTTACATTTGTTGCATGTAATACAGTTAGACATCCACCAACGCTTTTAGAAACAAAATTAAACTTTTATGGCCTTAATAGAATCGTTTAAGCTATGACTTTTAAATCTGGTAAGTAGTGGATACCACCATTATGGGTTTGATTAATTTTAAATCTTGTGTAGGCTGATATGAGAAAAACTGACCAAATCTTCGAATAAAACTTTCACATACATGATTTACCTTCATCGCCCTTTGTTACATATCTTTTTTCTTTATTTTGACATTTTTAATTTCAATTTTGAAGTTGCAAAAATACAATTTTTTAAATTTAAATGAACATTTTTTTAATTTTACTCTTCTTCATATTAAATCACAAATCCTTCCATATCCAGTTTCTTCATAATAAATCATTAGCAAAACTAAGTCAGCTGTTATAATCTTTAGAAATATTGTTGTGCCTTATCAATAGTCTTTTGAAATATTAAATAGACTATTTCTGTACTATAAAAAATGTTAAACAAATAATTTAGCATTAACTACAGCAGACAAAACTAATATGATTATCAAAGCATCAAGGACCAAGGACAAAAAAATGTAATAGCAAATACAGTATATGCTTCATTGCATCTCTGATTCTACTCTACAAAAATATCAACAAACAACTTAATATCATACCAGTTCTTTTAATCAGTTCCATCGTCTATTGCCTTTACATTTTCACACTTACCATTAAGTAAACATAGTAACAGATATTTCATTGATTTTAGAAACAAAAGAACACTGTGTACTGCTTAGTTTTATTATATTTTCCTTGGTTTAATTTAATCAGTGATGTGACAAAACACAAATAATAAATTTATCAAATAAAGTAAATGTGAACTGAAAGCTTCCTATGTTAAGATAAAATAAGAGTATTTAAATCAACGATATACAATTTATTTATTGATGATATTCTTTAGTTTAGCAAAACACAATAACTAAATTTACCTAAATATACATAGGCTATGAAAAAAAAAAAAAAAAAAAAAAACAATGTGATGTTGAAGTTATGTTAAGTTAATCTAACACATGTTAAGCAGTTCGAATTTATTTAAAGTAGACTCCAAATTCATATAAAACATTGTAATTTTCTTATTTTTTTCATGAAAATATATCAATAACATTATTTTCATAACACTCAAGACACCTTAAAAATCGAAAGTAGAGCCTGAGTTGATGCAGCAATGGTTTTAGAATATTTTTAAAACTCTATAATCATTGACATAGTTTTTGAAAAAATGATCTTTGATAAATTTTTAGATTAAATAAACCAACCACATAATTGTATGAAATATTATATTAAATATCATTTTATCAGCTGTCTTAAAATGTGAAAAATGCAATTTGGCAGTTCTTCTTGTTTACATTGAAATGTCAAAGCAAATGTAAACATTGTGAGTATTCTCATTGCAGCCATGGAGGCCAATCAATATTTACTTTTAAAATCCTCACCCCAGAACTTTTAAAGCCAAAGTGGCAAAGCCCACGGTCAGTATCGAAGTGTGAATAGTCCTATAATGGTCCTTGGTATGGTAACTATATTTTTGTAAAATTTAAGCCCAGTTGGTTCAGTAGTTTTTGCACCTATTAGTAATACACATACAGACAGACACCATTAGATTTTTATATAATAGTATAGAAGTATAGATAGATGTAATTTTAAGAACTGTTTAAAATGTACAAAATGTGTGATTACCTAATACTTCTCACTCTCCTACTCCAAGTTAGTTTCTGAACTATTTTAGTTAAAAACCGGCTGCATCAACGATATACAATACCTAATTGATTTTCAACCATCACACAACAGACAGTGACCAAGTCCTTGTTGTATCAACATTTCTGCGGCCCAGGCTGTAATAGTACAGACCTTTGTTGACTCTATGTCTATGATACAATACTATGATGGTTTGAACATTGCCCCTATTGACTACAACCCCTATGCTGCTACCCGGCAGCGACTCTTGGGTAAAACGTGTATCTGTCAAAACCGAATGTTAAATCTAAATTTTTGTAATTCATGTAGAACATTAAATAACTTTGCGTGTGTGTTTTATATGCTATTGCACTTTCTTAAGTTTTTTCTATACTGTTTTAGCGAATTTCCCTATAGGGAATAAGCTATTACCACCGTAGTACTCATGGAAAGACCTGGACCCGGGACCGATTTACTTTTTCGTTTTGAGGTCCCTAGAGGCCAAAAACACCATCCGTTCAAATTCATATATATATATATATATATATATATATATATATATATATAGCCTATATATTTATATATGTCTGTTAGCGCGATAACTCGAGCAAAAATCATCCGATTTTGATGAAATTTGGGACAAACGTGTAAACCTACGTTTATTCGAACGAGTTCGCGAACCAGCATGATCGGACTATGGAAACAGGGGTTTATGGGAGATTTTATGGGGTAAAAATTGGTTTTTCCCATTTTTGACCCAAAAAACTTAAAATTTAGCATTTTCTTTCCAAACTATTTTGTAGAGCTTAAAAAAACAAATAATTTGGTATATTGAAGCGTGGTTATGCGCCTATAAATTACGGAGAAAATTCTAAAAAACTGTAAATTTAAATTTCCCATGTTATTCTTATGGAGAATCAGTAAACTAGTAAGCTGTTGTAGTTTGCTTGTTTATGAACATATTTTGATCAAATTTGGAAAATGCATTCATCTCATACTAAACCATTAACATATTACAAAAAAATCACCCCTTTTTACCCTCCCTGTTGCAGCAAACCTAAGTACTTATCAAACTAATGTTATTTAAAAAGGGAATAAATGTGATATTTTTAAGGAGACATTATAGTGTAAAACCAATCAGGCAAATGGAAATTCGCTTAGTCTGCAGGTTTGCTGTGGCGGGGGTATTTTTATTTACTATCTAACATTCGTTTTCTAGATAGACAGTATAATTAATTGGTAGCACTATAAAAAGCATCATACGTTAATAGGTTATTCACTATTTTATAAAATTTACTAGAAAAACTGATAATACTTTTTGAACTGGACATGCTAAATTTGGAAAATTTATTATGCTAACTTTAATATTAATCAAAGTAGTTTAAATATTACTAGACTAATTCAGAATGTCAAATTTTCAGAATATATTTTAATGTTTTTAGAACCACATTATACACACATTTTGTAATTTAACCCGGTAGTTTGGTACCAGTGGAGGAGCACAGGTGGCAGGTGTGCCAACGTTATAGCTATGGTAAACCTTTTCAAGTTGTCCCTTTAAATTATAGACGAGAAAATGATCAAACCTTTAATAATGTTTCTGAATAGTTTGAATTCAATTTATTCTATTCCATTCCAAATATATTACAGTACTTGTGATTTAATTTTTTAAAGCATTAGGTTGTAGTAAAAACTTCATATAGTTATCAGCATAAATTGATACATATATGTTTCAAAAACCTTATAAAGTTTGAGAAAGTAAGACATTTGAAAATCCCTCCAACCGTGGATAAAAAATAAGATTTCTATTCAATGGTTTCACGGAATGTAAGAATGGTATATACATGTTATGACTTTCATTTAATATTATTAAAAGTTTTAACATTTTACACAGAAACAAAAACCCACTGCGTTTTATAAAACTACAATTAATTGTTCAATACTAATGTAAAATTGAGCCATGTTTTCCCTAGCTAACTAAACATACATCGCATAGATGATCAAGTATTATACCATTTATTTAGTGATAACATAATTATAATTAAAATTTTTTCCTCGGATGGTGATGGCTCAACTATTGCACCACAAGTTCCAAACACATAGGTGAGTTCCTGGCAACAGATAATAGGATTGTGTTTTGTGTCACTAATTGTTCCAGTTGAGAATCACTGATGAGATTCTGTTTGTGAGGTTGGTTCAGGGGTAAACTGCAGGTCGCACCTAACCAAATTTTATTAGAAATCAAATTAAATTCGTACTAAATTATTTCTGATTGATAAAATGACACTTACATACGCAAACTGCTTTTTAGTAAGAATATAACAAATAAGATACTTAAGAATCAATAAGGAAAGGCATGTTTGTTATGATGGATAAGAGGTTCAGAGGAATTATTCTAGGCCTAGTTAATTGTGGAGATGCATACCAATGAAGTAAAATATCGTTTCGTGCATCCGTAAAAATAATGGAAGATTATTTATTAAGTACTTACGGGAATGGACAACAAATACAAAGATTACCGTACTCGCTGAACAAATGTAGTAAAACAATTTAGTTCATTAAAAAATAATTCCTGAAGTTTATAAATTGGCTGTATAGTCTCAAAATGTCAACTCAAAACTGTGTATTTATAGCTGATCACCAAACTTGTCCGCCTGTCTGCGGATGTTCTTATAAAACAAACAACCAGCTGCGTATAGTGTATAATGTCGGTATCCAGCACACTACCGTTTATTTATAACTGTTCACTAAACTTCTCCAGACTGTCTGTCTGCTGATGTTCTTATAAAACACACAACCAGCTGCGTATAGTGTATAATGTCGGTATCCAGCACACTACCGTGTATTTATAACTGTTCACCAAACTTGTCCAGACTGTCTGTCTGCGTATGTTCTTATAAAACACACAACCAGCTGCGTATAGTGTATAATGTCGGTATCCAGCACACAACCGTGTATTTATAACTGTTCACCAAACTTGTCCAGACTGTCTGTCTGCGGATGTTCTTATAAAACACACAACCAGCTGCGTATAGTGTATAGTGTCGGTATTCAGCACACTACCGTGTATTTATAGCTGTTCACCAAACTTATCCAGACTGTCTGTCTGTGGATGTTCTTATAAAACACACAACCAGCTGCGTATAGTGTATAGTGTCGGTATCCAGCACACTACCGTGTATTTATAGCTGATCACCAAACTTATCCAGACTGTCTGTCTGCGGATGTTCTTATAAATCACACAACCAGCTGCGTATAGTGTATAGTGTCGGTATCCAGCACACTACCGTGTATTTATAGATGATCACCAAACTTGTCCAGACTGTCTGTCTGCGGATGTTCTTATAAAACACACAACCAGCTGCGTATAGTGTATAGTGTCAGTATCCAGCACAAAACCGTGTATTTATAGCTGATCACCAAACTTCTCCAGACTGCCTGTCAGCGTTTGTTCTTATCAAACACACAACCAGCTGCGTATAGTGTATAATGTCGGTATCCAGCACACTACCGTGTATTTATAGCTGATCACCAAACTTCTCCAGACTGCCTGTCAGCGTTTGTTCTTATCAAACACACAACCAGCTGCGTATAGTGTATAATGTCGGTATCCAGCACACTACCGTGTATTTATAGCTGATCACCAAACTTCTCCAGACTGCCTGTCAGCGTTTGGTCTTATCAAACACACAACCAGCTGCGTATAGTGTATAATGTCGGTATCCAGCACAAAACCGTGTATTTATAGCTGATCACCAAACTTCTCCAGACTGTCTGTCAGCGTTTGTTGTTATCAAACACACAACCAGCTGCGTATAGTGTATAGTGTCGGTATCCAGCACACTACCGTGTATTTATAGATGATCACCAAACTTGTCCAGACTGTCTGTCTGCGGATGTTCGTATAAAACACACAACCAGCTGCGTATAGTGTATAGTGTCAGTATCCAGCACAAAACCGTGTATTTATAGCTGATCACCAAACTTCTCCAGACTGCCTGTCAGCGTTTGTTCTTATCAAACACACAACCAGCTGCGTATAGTGTATAATGTCGGTATCCAGCACACTACCGTGTATTTATAGCTGATCACCAAACTTCTCCAGACTGCCTGTCAGCGTTTGTTCTTATCAAACACACAACCAGCTGCGTATAGTGTATAATGTCGGTATCCAGCACACTACCGTGTATTTATAGCTGATCACCAAACTTCTCCAGACTGCCTGTCAGCGTTTGTTCTTATCAAACACACAACCAGCTGCGTATAGTGTATAATGTCGGTATCCGGCACACGACCGTGTATTTATGGCTAATCATCAAACTTGTCCAGACTGTCTGTCTGCGGATGTTCTTATTAAACACACAACCAGCTGCGTATAGTGTATAGTGTCGGTATCCAGCACACAACCGTGTATTTATAACTGTTCACCAAACTTCTCCAGACTGTCTGTCTGCGGATGTTCTTATAAAACACACAACCAGCTGCGTATAGTGTATAGTGTGGGTATCCAGCACATTGCCGTGTATTTATAGCTGATTACAAAACTTTTCCAAACTGTCTGTCTGTAGATGTTCCATTTCCAATCCAAAAATATATTATAACTAATATTAAATTTGAGAGGTATGTTAACAAAGCACCTTTGACTTATCGTCACAGACGGTACGATTAAAAGTTCATATTTTATTCGAATATTTATTTAAGGATATTTCTCATAAACTGGTTTCCCAATTCCCAACACCTGTAACAGCAAAATTCACAGCTCTAACATGTACTCGATCTTGTATTAGACAGGCTTGATGACAAATAGCCGTTACTTTGCCAATACTAGTTCCAAAGTTTCCAATGAATCGCTAACGGCCAGCTAAATTTTCACACGGCTTACAACTGCCACCGAGTTCTGGCAGATATTGCACCTCTAAGGTGAAATGTAACCGTCCTACGTCTTGGTTAAAGTGTACTTGACTTCATGCAAATGTTGTTCTTGCGATGTTTTTGTCCACGAGATGTGATGAAAAGATTGTCCACTTTAAAATATTTTTAGTGTAATTTACAAATGAGTCATAATTTAGTTGTAAAATAACGAATTTCCTGTAAGGGAATTAATTCATCATGTAAGTTGAAAGTGGAAAGTTTCTATTCACAAATCTCACCCCTCTTGAAGCTTTTCACATTGAAGTGCAAGATTTGCATTGATCCGAAGAATAATAACAAAGTTGATACTAAACAGCTGATAAATGCAAGGTTTATTTTGGCAGCAATTAACTAGTGTAACTATATTTACCAGCAAAGGTTCTGGTCCGGAAGTGTACCAGCTGGTCGGGGCATCTGGTGTCGAACTGACGAGAGGAAACACGCGGTCTTTGCGAGAGTAATAATTTCATGTCACAATTGAGAGAAAAGGTAGTAAGGTAGAATAAACAATCTATATCAATTAATAAATAGATAATATTGTTGTAGTGTTACACATTAGATTTTTTCCTACAGTTACTATAAAGCATAGTCTTTTAAATAAACAACACGATTTTAGGCAAGGTTAATCCAAGCGTTGAACAAAATGAGGAACGCTGCACCAGCTGATCGAAGTCGTAGTATCCTTAAGTGTTGCCAACTTATTTTCAAGCGTACACGTATTGCATTCTTATAAAAACTTATTTATTCTTTGGTAGGAATACTGGAATGCGGCAAAAAATGAGTGCGGCAAAAATAAGTAAATGCAGCCTTTAGCTACTTTGCTGTGCTATAATCGGTGCAAGGAAACTCACTTTGTCAGGCTACTGCAGGAAAAGTAAACAATTGGGTGAAAATGTTTAAAGAGGCTACACTATATGGCAAATCATTCTGTTTCTTACTATGATTTACATTACATTTGACAACCTCTAGAATCATGACAAAGGGAACGTTAAGGCCATGTAAGGCCTTGGTGGTCAGAGTATTGTTGATTATTCAAGACAAAAGTATATAACCAGCTACATTCGTGTGCGAACCACTATGACTGGTTACTAAATAACTATACTATATACCAGTTGTTCTACCCGTGCCTTGCCACGGGGAGAGAAAAGAGAAGATATGGCGATTCTTCACTGTCTTGTTCAATTCAAACTTGTAGGTAAATTAATTTTGTCAATGTCCATGTCACGAGGAAAAATATTCTACAGTTGCCTTTTTTCCAGTTGGAACACATAAGTCTCCTTCCAAACTATGTGGTTCTTGTGTCCCTTAAACACGTATGCAACATCAGTTGATGTTATTTTAAAATACTACTTTTAGGTACTGAACTATTTCAAGTAATTGAAACAGAATTCAAAGACTTGAGCACTATCCTACAATATAAGAAAACTTACTGTGAATTCCCTTGATGCAATAATATAGAAATCAAGATCATACTAGAATCAAAAGGTTAACTCAAGGAAAAGCAAACAAACATACTAACCAAAACAAATCTAACAGCTGAAACATCTTCAATATTTTAAATGTAATTAAATACAGCCGTTTGGTTGAAATTCCTGCCCTTAGGAGAGGGTTTATAGAATAAATTATATTTTTCGGGGAAGTTTCACATCAAGACCTTTCATTCAGTTATTTATGTTTTTTGTCCTAAGACGCTATGCACATAGTTACGAGCCTGGGATTGTTTTTCACATTAATTCAGGCTAGACCTAGGGGTTGTGGCATTATCAATTAGATAAAATCCATTGGTGATCTAACAGGATTGGAACCCGGGAACTCGGGAACCGAAGTCCCGCGCTTTAACCACTAGACCAGCTCACACCCCTTCATTCAACTATGCGGTTGATTATGTGCGGCGTACCGTTTTCTCAAAAGTTCAAAATCTTACTATCTTAAAATTATAGATAGATGATAATAAATACGACGATAATGGTGTAATTTTTGGTTGAAGACTCTCTGACTAATACAAGTCAGTAAGCCACTCACTGGTATTTTATCAAAGGTAAATTCGCCAAGTTTGTAGTTCCGCCGTGTCCACGATATTTTAACGCCCGCCACCGGTGTCCTATGACCAGTAGTTGTAGTTATAAACTCTACAGATGATTGACGTTAACATTTACAGTGTCGCAGCTCGCAGCTCGTGAATCGTAATTACA